TGGGAGAATGTTTTGTTGAATTTATGTTTGCCAAAATTGGGGTGGGCGTGGAAAACTACATGAATGACAATGAGAGCAAGGAAGAAGAAAATGTTCTCAACTAGATTGTGGTACGGATTGGACAACTCTTCTTGATGTGATTAAACTCTTGCTTCACATGATAAAAGGAGGAAGTGTCCCTAACACTGTTTAAAAACAAACACTACAGCTACTTGGTGTGGCTCCCAACCCTTCCTACAGAATGAAGGCCTCTTTCCAAGTACCCAACTCCAGACAGGGATGGAGTCCCCAGGAAGCACGGTAAGCCAGGTGCCCGCATGTCACTTACGGAGTGGTCGGCGCCCGCACCCCCTACCACAACCCGCGCTGCTGTACTTCTCATCCGGTCCTCTTCATAGTCGTTGTCGTTTGTGAACCTGTCGCCTTTCACCTCTGTCCTTTCCTTTCCTTCCAGAAGGCAGTGGGGAGACATCTTGGCCTCAGCAGGCAAAATATGAAGTCCCTTCACAGACGAGACTCGGGTCAAGGAATTCACAAGGCAATGCCTTCTTGCCGAGTGGAGAGTTGGTGTGGTCAGAGCCACCAGCTAGATCTTTCTCTCGTCGTCTCTCTTAAGAGTTAAAAATAAACTTCACCTATTTAAGAATGTGACACCTCAGCACTGTGGCCAAAAATAATTCTTAAGATTGAAGAAAATGTCCTAAAACAGTCCTAGAGTCCTAAAACAGATTGCGGTGATGATTGTACAACTCTTCTCCACGTGATTGAACGAATGAATGGTATGCTATGTGAATTATATGCCAATAAAACTGTTTGGGGAAAAAAATCCTTTTCCTGAATATAAAGACACATAATTATTTCAAGAAAAAAAATTAAGCTTGACAAAATACCAATTTATAAACTATCAAGGGCTCATGAGGGAGGGGGGAGCGGGGAGGGAGGGGAAAAATGAGGACCTAATGCCGGGGGTTTTAAGTGGAGAGAAAATGTTTTGAGAATGATGTACAAATGCGCTTTACACAATTGATGTGTGTATGGATTTCAATAACAGTTGTATGAGCCCCTAATAAAATGTTTTTTAAAAATTAAGCTTAAAAAGTCCCTGTAACCACCTCATGCAAAGAAAACCTCTGCTCAAATTTGGATTCGTTTACTGTTAGTTTACTATTAGTCCGTTAGCCTAGGTATCTATAGGAATATAAAGCTCACTGCCATTGAGTTGATGCCAACTCAGAGTCACTTTGTAGTGGCTCTCTGAGGCTTAGCCAATCTTTATGGGAGCAGACAGCCTCACCATTATCCCTCAGAGTGGCTAGTCAGTTTGAAGGGCCGTGAGGTTAGCAGTTCAATGCTAACCAAACAGCGCCATCAGCACTCCTTACATAGTGTACCCATAACCCATGCAGTGTGCATTCTGTTGTAATGCAGGTACCAGATACCAGCATTTTTCACAGAGCATGTGGTGAGCATTTTCTCATGACATCCATATTCTCCAAAGCGAGTGCTCATTTCTGCACAAGAGCACATCAGGCCACTGTGTCATTGTCCGCTTTTCCCCCATGGTTGGATATTTAGGTTTCCGCTTTTCTTCGCCCACTCCCCTCCCGGCGCCCCCTCGCCCCACCAGCCTTGCTTAGCTGTGGTCCAAAATGCTGGTAAAGATGGGAGAGCGTTCTAGGCTTGGGATTGCAGACCCAGGGGATCAATAAATGATAAAATGAAACGATGCTGCCTGAATTCCTGTTTAGAGTCTGGGCTTTTACCAGCCACTCCAGCCTCCCCCTTGTCCAGGTTTTGGGGAGAAAACGAATCTGTAGACATGGAAAGGCAGTTGCCTTTTATGTCGGCAGGCAAGACTCTGTCTGATGCAAGCTTAGTTTCTTAACTCATATTTCCAGTGACCGCAGGGATAAAGATGACTCTACACGTGACCAGTTCCTGCAGGCTCGCAGCTATCTCCTTGTTGATCTTTTTACTCAGCCTCGTCCCCCCGATTGACAGCACATCATTTTCGGAGCCTTCCGAAAACCTTGTTGGAAAACCTCAGAAAACCAAATGGGGACGAGAAATAGAAGTCTTCCAGCCGTTACTCATTGACCCCTGAAGTCAGGCCTTGGTACCTAACCTAGTGGCACCTCCTTTGCAGGACTATTTATACTTATAAATAATAAGTGTGTTCTGTGATTATTTATGCAATACCTGTCTTCTCTGGAACGGAAGCTCCACAGCGCAGAGGCCATGATGGTCTAGTTGGCTGCTTGGTCCTCCCAAGGAAGTGCCCCCACCCCCCCATGCCATTTCCATGCCCCAACCGTGCTACAGAGGGTTTTGAATGACAGCTTTTTCTTTTTTTTTTTTTTTTGAATGACAGCTTTTTCAAAGTACATCTCCAGGAGCCTCTGGGTGGACTCAAACCTACTATTGTTCCATAAACAGCCCAGTGTGCTAACCCCTGGCCCCACCCAGGGCTGCCAGGGCTAAACACCACTCCCACTGGAGCGCTGGCACCCACTAAATGCTTCTGGAATGAACTGATAACTGGATTGAGGACCCTGATGGGAAGAAATCAAGCTCACAGTAGCCGGGACCGGGGGGTGTCTGGAGTGACTACTTTAATGGTGTCAGAAGAGTGTGTGCTGGGAAGCTATGCCCTGGAGTCCCAGCATCCCCTCGTCTTTGGCTGTTGACCTAAGGTGAAATGTGATGAGCACTTCCAGGGCTAAGAACAGAACTCTCTCAGGTCCTCTGCCTCAAACTCTCCTGCCAACCCTGTGTCTTTTCTTCGCCTCCCCTCCACACTGGACTCTTTCCTTACCCACGGCACTCCTGAGAGAAGGTGGGTCTCCACTATCAAAGCCTGATGCAGCCAAGCTCTGCCTAGAAGTGATCATGCTGATGAGTTGATTACTCCAGGACCGTGCGAACCCCGTGCTAGGTGGACTGCACCCAGCCAGCAGGGACATGGTCACCGCTAAGTCTCCAGGAGTTCAGAAAGACCAGAGGCTAGCTTCCACGATTCTGTTGACACCTCGCTTGTTTGCCACTGACCAGATTTGGAGTGGTTTTCTCCACTGACCAGACTTCTGCAGACAGGATGGGCAAATGGGCTCACTCCAAAAGGCTCTCTTTGGAGACATGGAAGGGGCAAAATGTATTCCAGGACGACTTGTGACCCTGGAGACGCGACAGGGAAGAGGACAAAGGATAAAGTAGATGGTCTTGATCCGAGAAGGAGCTTGTCTCCAGCCTCTCTGTGATGGTCCAGAACAAAGTGTTCTGCTCTTGGGCTGAAGACATTCGGGCCAGAACTGCACACAACCAAACTTCCCAAAGGCGGCAGCTTTGTCCATCCTGAGGTGAAGGACAGCAGGGTCTCCTGGCGGGCCTGGCACAGTGCTGTGGCATCTTCTGCATAAAAACAGAGACAAGAGGGCTCCCTGGGCTTAGTCTATCCACGTCTCTTTGCTTGGGTCACCATGTTTGTTGCCGAGAACTTGAAGGATTCCTTTCTTAGAATTTTTACACACAGTTGACTTTAATGATGCCTTGGTGAAGCGTAAGGTCTCCTATCCAGGGCTCTTTCTTATAGCTCCGTCATTTGTGATGGCCTTCCTTTGTCAGAGTGACCGCTGCTACGGATGGAGTATGTCCTGTCATTTATGTTTTCCGCGGTGATAACAGCGGAGAGTCACTTTGGAGAATACAGAAGGTGCTGTGCAGCTTGCTGGTCCCTAGCCGAGCTGAAATGTGACTCACCCCAGGGATCTTTTTTCTAGAAGGTGAAAGGTGGAAGGCTCCTCCTGGAGAACGTATAAGGAGATGAGTCACAAGATTCCTTGCTGGCAACTTTGATGTCTCTCAGCGTCGAGTGTATGTGGGAAGCTGGCTACGATGAGCATGGGGTAAAAGAGATGGCAGAACCATGGGCGATTCGCTATCCCTAACTAAAAATGGCATGTGAGCCAAAACGGATCACAGTGGAGCAAGGGGACGCATTTGCCAGGGAAGCTAAGAGGCTTCCTGATAAAGAGGGGCTTCTGGTTTGGATGGACCACAAGGCTGGCCATGTGCCTATACGGCTCTTCGAAGACATGCTTGCCTTCAAAGACTCCATTTCACAGTATGCTCAGTCCCAAATGGTATCGTTCAGTTCCGCAGAAAGGAGCTTCTGGGAAAGAGATGGGTGTGCACACAGAACATTCTGGTTCCCCTGTCCCTCAGAGAATGAAAACCGAGTCCTGGCTGAAGGTACTGCCTTCACCATGGCTTGCTGGGTGGGTCCAAGAATGAAAGCTATGGTAAGATACTTAAATTTGTTTGGGAACTTTCTAGTAGACTGTTGATAATGACTTTTATATTCTCTTATTTTAGCCCCCAAAACTCATTTGGGTAGGCATTACGATGACTACTTTGTAGATAATATAGGTGACGGAAGTCTCAAAAGTGACTTGCCCAGAACTAATCAGCTAGTGAAAGGGCTGAGCCAAGAGTTAAGCCCCAAAGTCTTGCTTTCAACTTTAAGGTTCTGGGGTTTTGCTGAATACATACGAGGTAGCCTGAGCCACATGACCTCCCTGAACTGTGTCCTCCCCCCACCCCTCTTTTTAAACAGGGCCTGGCCACGTTGGGAAAGTCAAGTGCAATCAAAGCTTGAGGACATGGTGAATTGCGGTGCACAAAATCATCAGGAGATCCCTTTTGATGGTCATATTTACAGCCTCTTGAGCAAGATAAAACACACGAGGAATGGAGAGGGCCTCTTGAGTAAGTTTCTTAAGCTGTATTACATAACCCGTGCTCCTGGGGGTATACTGGGTGGATCCACACGCACTGGAAGTGCTCCAGACTGAGCGGGGAACACTGCCCAGGTGGGAGCCTGGGGGCCGTTCAACCCAGAATCTGAGCTCCCAGTGGGTGGGATGAGCTAAACCATCAATCTTCTTGAGTCCATTCAAATCCCCACTGCTCACAGGTCTCCCCCAAACCACCCCCAAGTCAAAATGACCACAGTGCAGTCAGGAACCATTCCCTATTCCTTGCCCTACTTCTCTGAACCCGACTATGAGCTTCCTGTACACCACGCTGCCGAGGTCTGGTTTCGTAAGCCAAGGGGCCTTTTGCAAATGTCAACAAAGCTCCTGGGTTAAGAGGCAGCGGCAGCTCCGTTCTCATTGCCATCAGCTGACTTAACACGAGCGTCCCACACAGGCAGAATCGCGTGTCCTTCTTCCCTCCCAAAACAAGCACGTTGGTTTGTGTCTTAAACTAAAAAGGTCCAAACCCATGACCGTGGAGTCCCGGTCTAGTTCTTGGCAACCCCAGGGCAGTGCAAACAGCTTACACGTGACCACGAAGGCACAGGCAACTCTGAGGCAGAAAGATCTGGCAATCTGTTCCCATAATGTTTACACCTAGAAACCGCACAGGACAGTTCTACCCTGTCACCCGGGGCTCTCTAAGGGCCACGATCTAGTAGATAGCACCTAGCAGCAATAACAACTGACCTACAGGTTGGCTATTCGAATCCACCAGAGGCACTGTGGAAGAAAACGCCATCTGGCCACTGGGCTCTGCCACACACGAAACGAGGTCTCCGTGCAGTGTGTAAGCTGGTGGGTTAAGGGGCGAGGTGGGGGACGACTCCAGCTAGGCAGTCTTGTGAGAGTCTTCAGCTCCGGCCCAGGCCGGGAGCTCCTTCCTTTTGTAACAGCTCCACCTCGGGCAGGAGCGCTCTGCAGCACACCCAGAGGGGAGGACAGTCATGCTTTCCGACCCAGACTGCGGCGAAGGTGGAATTCAGTTCTTTCTCAAGGAGTTGAGCCCAGTCCCAGGTTGTCTGAGATCAGGATTGCCTAATGGGGACACTCAGGACTTGAACCAACCAAGCTGATATTTACCCAATGTGAAGGTAGGCTTCAGGCCATGGAAGCAAAGAGTAGGTCAAGGTGGAGAGCTTGCGTGTCCCTGAGTGGCTCCGATGATTAATGCTTGACAATGCTAAGAAAGATGGTTGGTTCAAACTCACCGGAGATGCCTCAGAAGATAGGCTTCCACAAGGTCATGGCCTGGAAAACCCAGGGGCCAGGCTCTTGTCTACCCACCTGGGGCCATCCTGAGGTGGAATGGATTGGATAGCCACTAGCCACCATGCTGGAGGGCCAGGAGTTGGAGAGGGGGCAGCTCTCCCAACAGCCATAGAAGATAAGGGACTGAAGACGCGAACTACTAGCCCTTGGGAGACCAGCCCGTTCTGAGGCACTGCACATGCCTGTCGGTGAACCGGGGCAGGAGATCACAGGTCAGAGTTGGGCACACCAGGGTCTGAATTCCAAGACCTGCGATTGGGAAGAAAGCAGATTGGTTCTGATTTCTCTGCTACGTCCATATGGCGGTCAAGCTCACACCCCGGGCCCAGTGTGAATGACGCAGAGACAGGGGAGAAGGTTGCCGGCTGACCTGGGTCCAGTATCCACTCCCCTGAAGGGACCCTAAGTCACATGGTGCTTGCCTTTTGCTCGCTGACTCAGCCCCTCACCCCCTTTCACCTTTTTCCTTGACGGAGCTCCCCACCCCCAACCCCCATACTTAAGAAACAGCTTTCTATGGATGGGGATCCTCTGGCTGCCAGCCTTTACTCCTAGTCATGGGGGTGGGGCAAGCGGGTGGACCCCCACCTACCAGGGGACAGATCAAGGTGAGACAAGAAGAGAGCTCCGACACCTTTGGCTGAGCCAGGTAGGGAGGAGGCACAGTACAGTCTCCCCTTCCTGGCCTCTGTCCCCACCCCAATCCTCTGTCCCTTCTGCCAGCAGGCATCCACTCCCCCTACAAAAGGAGCAGAGGCGAGGCTGTGAGCGCCCAGCAGCTGTCAGTCAGGCTCCCTTCCCTTTGCCCTCTGCTGGCCAGGCTGGACCGCTAACAGTCACCTCTTCCTCCAGGTGAGAGTTGGGGCCCCGCCCACCAGCTCTCTGCCACTTCCGCTCTGGATGCTATGGAAGGTCTCCAGGGGTTGCAGCTTCGAAAGCTGAGGAGCAGAGCCTGGGACAACCCTGCCTGCAGTGCTCCCCCTTCCCCACACTGAACCCTGGGTCTCTGCACCATCTCCAGTGTGGTGCCCTCCCCTTCCCCACCCAAGAACCCTGAAGATGGCCCTCCTCAGGAGAAGGCGCCCAGGAACCTGGGGCCCAGCTGCTGCCTCCATATTGGTCGAGGCATCGGAGGTACCTGGGAGGGGGAAGGTTCTCCTGGGAGGTAGAAGTCAGGAGGAGGGAGGATTGTGGCCCAAAGAAGAGGGAAATCTCAGGGCACTTTTGTGACCTGGGGACTTGTGGCAGGGGAGTTGGATGGCCAAGGGACACAACTCTCTGGTCTCCCTGTGGAGGGAGGTGGTGTGGGACTCAGAGAGGTGTGGAGCTGGTGTGAGGGAGGACACAGGTGCTGTGAGGCCCTGAACTGCCCCACTGAGAGCCAGGACCCCCTTTCTAAGCCCTGCTTTTCCTCAACCCAGGTTCTCCCCATGCCTTTGCCGGGGGTGGGGGGGTGGGGTGTTTCCAGAGCGAGGCCGACAGTGAAGGGCAGACCCAGGTGTGGGTAGAGCGGCCAGATTCAGAAAAAGGATAAAGTGATGGAAAGGAGAAAAGGGCAGGGGTCAACATGTAGGTCAAGTTCAGGTCCAGATAGGTATCTGATTACTGGAGGCAGAGTGCAGCGGGGGAAGGGGGCTTGTGGTTGTGTTACTATGCTGCTGGGGGACTCTGGGCGTCTCTCCAAAGCTCCTCAGATCTTGGGGAACAAGCCTGATGGAGAATACAGCCGAGAACCAGAAACTTTATGTCAAGACCACCCTGCGGGAGCTTCTGGTGTATATCGTCTTCCTGGTGGCCATCTGTCTCTGTATCTCTCTGCCTGTGAGAGGTATGTATGTGTACAATATCTGTGGACACACGCCCCCTGGCAACCATTGTGGGCACAGCATCCACCTGTATAAGCAAGCTATGTCCTGGGAACTTTCAATCCATAATCAAATCCTATTTATTATCCTTTTCAAATGTTGGTATTTTGGGTAGCCAAAGAACTTGTTAGTGAGTTCTAAGAGAAGGCAGCATTTCCGGGTCAAGTATCGCCAGGGGAGCCCAGGTTTTCCATTGCAGCGCGGACATCGAGTTGCAGCCAAGGCAGGTGGAAGTTTTACCCAGAGGAGAGAGCAAGAAAAGGTGTTGGCTTCACCAAATGATCATACTGTGTGTTCCCCCACATTTGCTTAGCAGCAGTTGGAAAAATATCAAGGAGACTGGAGAGCTCAGCTCCCTGATAAAGGGGTTAGAGGTGCAACTGGAGTGGTGGTCACCATAGTTAGGGTCCAGGTAAGACAGCACTGTGGCAAAGGCAGGTCCAAGGAAGTGTATCTGGAGCCCTAACTATAGATACAAACCGGGAAGGTTTGGTCTTTAAGTTGAGAGAAGCAGGTGAAAAGATTAGAGTGTAGATTCTAATAATTTTTTTTTAAAAGGACATATACTAGTTGGACCAAATATATGCTATGAGGCCTGTTGATAAGAGGGTGGTATTTGTACTGAGTTAAACATTTGTGCAGCAAGCAAAGTTTAATAGACCTAGGTGTATATGTGGGCGTTGATTCAAGGTGCAAATCAAATCATACGCCTAAGCTATCTCCTGCTACTAAACAGGTGGTTTTGTATCTTCCCGAAGGCTCGTTCCTTGTAGGGGGCATGGACCTTTCCAAAGTAAAATCTGAAGATCTGATGACGTAACTCTTCATACAACAGTTCATCAGCCTCCTGAGCCATTCACCCACATTTGCCCTCTGGGAAGCTGAGCAGAAAGCCCTGGCCCCAGGCGTCCTCTGATGGGACTCACTCCACTCTGGACCGGAGACAGGAGGCAGTGCTAAAGGTTTGCCACCAGTCACCCAGCGTGTGGGGAACAGCAGCAGACACAGGGTACCCTTTGAGGGGCCCCTTCAAGTCCTTTCAGCAAGGGACTGGCTGGAATTTACTTGTGGATGTATTGTTGTTGTTTTTCTTCCCTTAACCATCTGCTAGGATCGTTCCTCTCCTTCTTCACATCCCCTCACAACAGCTGAGACCCCCAGGCAAAGAGCCTTTCTTTCTAAATCACTCACCGGTCTCTATTTCCAGATTAACCTTTGGAACAGATTTGAGGAGAGGTCTCTAACATGCCAGACTTACAATGAACCATTTCTGACTCCTCTGAATGGGGCTGGAAGGAGTGCAAGCTTGGGTTCTGGAAGCCTTGAAGCCCATTCACTCATGTTCTCTACCTTATGACCTCCAAGTGCACTTGTGATTTGCCAAAGGCTGACTCACAGACTCAGCCCAGTAATTATCGAATCCCTGAGCAGCCAGGGGCTTTCAAGGGCATCTAGTTCAAGGGCACATAGGGGCAGCCATCCTTCCTAAGATCCTTCCTATGGTGCTCTGTCAAGTGGCGCACCAGCCTTACACTGGGGAGTGTGATCCGGATTTCACTTTTTCACAGGGTAACACAGTCCACTGTTGGGACACTCAACTTCCTGTCTTCAGTCAACATCTGTGAAGGGTTCTCCTCTCTTCCAAATGTTGGGCTGAGGGATACAGAGATGGCTGAGACTTAGACGCTTCCCCTTAAGGAACTTACCTTCCACTTTTTGGGTGGAAAAAATGGAGTGAAAAGATCATGGCATTTTCCCACAAACCGAGTGAAGCCCCCTCATTCTTCCTTGATATTCTCTGAAGCAGCATGGGACAACCTCTTAACTGGTCTTGGATAGTTATTTATCATTTTCCTTGGCCACCTGCACTTCAGGAGAAATCTCTTTGAGCTTCTTGCTAAATCAGTCAGGATAGTATGGTTTCCAGGCGTGGTGTTTTGCAAAGACTTGAAGCCTGGCTTTCCAGTTTGCACAGGCTTGGGCACAAACACCAGGCTCGGTCATGTCCAGTCGAGGACCTTTGTGCAAGTTGCTTAACTTCTCTGAGTTTTGGTTTCTTCATCTGGACTTCACCAAATTCCGTAGGATGGTGTGAGCATTACATAAGACATCTCTTAAGCCAGTCATTCAGTGCGTGGTATACAGTAAGAGTTTTTTCAGAATATACACCAACCCTCGTTGTCTATTGTGATTCCCACTACTGGAAAAAATATTCCAGAACAGTCGGAGCAGTCCAGAGAGGTGTGCTGATAGTTTGTCCTCCACTGTATTTCTATTTGGTGGCTCTATTAGGGCGTGCGGTGAGAGAAAGAGGGTACTTTCTGCTCTCGTCAAGACTTACAGCCTTGGAAATTCCAAAGGACAGTTCTACTCTGTCCTGTAGGGTCAGTGTGAGTCAGGATCATCTTAGTGATTTGTTTTGTTTAGTGATTCAGACAGGCGAGGAGCCCTGGTGGCATAGCGGTTCATCACTCAGCCGACAGCTGAAAGACCGGTGACTTGAACCCACCAGCTACAGAACCAAGATGTGGTTGTCTGCTTCTGGCAAGATTCCTAGCCTTGCAAACCCTATGGGGCTACTCTACTCAGTCCACAGAGTAATTCCCCACCCCACCCCACCTACTGCCACAAGTCAATGCCAACTCATCGCCGGCCTCGATAGAATATTCAAGACTGTAGTTCCCTCCTGGAAATCGAGAGCCTCATCTTTCTCCACTGGAGCCACTGGTGGGTTTAAAATGACGACCTTGCCCAGGGTCACCATGAGTTGAGGGCAGTGGGCTTGTTTTGGGGGGTGTCAAGACCTGCAGAATTACTGAGCTCTGAAT